TGGGGGTGACCAGGCTGGCATGCGACCAGTAAGGGGCAACCGAGCTGGCAGGGGGGGCAGTAAGGGGCAACCAGGCCAGCAGGGGTGGCAGTTAGGGTTGACCAGGCTGGTGGGGGTGGGGCAGTCGGAGGCGACTAGGTTGGCAAGGGGGGACTGTTGGGGGTGACCAGGCTGGCAGGGAGGGCAGTTAGGGATGATCAGGCAGGCAGGCAGGTGAACAGTTCGGAGCCAGTGGTCCTGGATTGCCAGAGGGTTGTCCGACTGTCCTGGAGATCGGGCCTAAACCAGCAGTCAGATATCCCCCGAGGGGTCCTGGATTGGAGAGGGTGCAGGCTGGGCTGAGGGGACCCACCCTGTGCATGAATTTTGTGCACTGGGCCTCTAGTATGCAAATTATCCCATCAACCGGGAATTCAACCTGAGTTCGACCAGGGGGCAGGGCTGGCCCACCAACTGCCCAGGGCCCCTCCCCCTGGCCAGCCCAGCCCAATTGGCCCAATCAGGGCAGGCCCACTGGACCCCACCAGTGCACAAATTCGTGCACCAGGCTTCTAGTCTTACCTAATAATAGACAAACATGGTAATTGACCGTACCTTCGCTATGCCTCCCATTGGCTAATCAGCGAGATATGCAAATTAACTGCCAACAAAGATGGCGGCCGGCAGCCATGGAGCTGGAGCGAGCAGGAGGCTTGCTTGCTCCAGTGATGGAGGAAGCCAAGGTTCCCCACCTGCCACAGCCTGCTCTAAGCTACACTAAAAGCAACAAAGTTTCAATTATAGAAGGTGAATAAACCCCAGATACCTGCTTTCATCCGGCTGTGGCCACGGAGCTGGAGTGAGGAGGAGGCTTGCTTGCCCCTGTGATGGAAGAATATAGAAGGTAAATAAACCCTAGATACCTGCTTCCAGTCGCCATTGCCACGGAGGTGGAGCCAAAAAAAAAAAAGCAGGGGGGGCAGTTAGGGTTGACCAGGCTGGTGGGGGTGGGGCAGTCGGAGGCGACTAGGTTGGCAAGGGGGGACTGGCTGGCCAGGCACCCCAGTGGGGACCCCCACCCCGAATGGGGTTTGGGAAGCCTGAAAACAGCCATCACACCCTCACCCAGGCTGGCCAGGCACCCCAGTGGGGACCCCCACACTGAAGGGGGTTTGGGCAGCCTGCAAACAGCCATCAGCCCCTCACCCAGGCTGGCCAGGCACCCCAGCAGGACTCCCACCCTGATCCAGGACACCCTTCAGGGCAAACCAGTTGGCCCCCACCCATGCACCAGGCCTCTATTCTATATAATAAATGGGTAAAATGCAAATGGACCCTAACAGCAGAATGACTGGGAATGACTGGTCACTATGACACACACTGACCACCAGGGGGCAGATGCTCAATGCAGGAGCTGCCCTCTGGTGGTCATTGTGCTCCCACAGGGGGAGCTCTGCTCAGCCACAAGCCAGGCTG